AAGTAATGAGACAAAACTTTTCGACAGTTATAAACGAAAAATCATGATTTAACGGTTATTATAACTCCGATTTTGATGATTTTTTACAGCTACACTCCTTGACCCTAAATGAATACAATGAATGAATTCGATCTTCAATTTAAAATATTTACACTAGTGGATACCACAAAATCTTATGTTATACTTAATGAAAGTATAAATAAACTCTTAAGTGTTAGAGAATCTATCGTTTTGATGGAATACGCATTCTACGAAACTAATTTCAACGATCCAACCATCAAACTTGTTTATATATGCTTCAAGATCGCATAAGCCAAAAATTGCAAAAAAAAAAAACATTCAGAGATTAAGTAATAAGACAAAATTTTTCGACGGTTATACATGAAAAATCACGATTTAACGGTTATTTTAACTCCGATTTTGATGTTTTTTCTTACAGCTACACTCCTTGACCCTAAAAAAATACAATGAATGAATTCGATCTTCAATTTAAAATATTTACACTAGTGGATACCACAAAATCTTATGTTATACTTGATGAAAGTATAAATAAACTCTTAAGTGTTAGTGAATCTATCGTTTTGATGTGATACGCATCTTAGAAACTAATTTCAACGATCCAACCGTCAAACTTGTTTATATATGCTTCAAGATCGCATACGCCAAAAATTGCAAAAAACAAACATTCAGAGATTAAGTAATGAGACAAAACTTTTCGACGGTTATAAACGAAAATCCATGATTTAACGGTTATTATAACTCCGATTTTGATGATTTTTTACAGCTACACTCCTTGGCCCTAAATGAATACAATGAATGATTTCGATCTTCAATTTAAAATATTTACACTAATGGATACCACAAAATCTTATGTTATACTTGATAAAAGTATAAATAAACTCTTAGGTGTTAGTGAATCTATCGTTTTGATGGGATACGCATCCTACGAAACTAATTTCAACGATCCAACCATCAAATTTGTTTATATATGCTTCAAGATCGCATACGCCAAAAAATTGCAAAAAAAAAAACATTCAGAGATCAAGTAATAAGACAAAACTTTTCGACGGTTATACATGAAAAATCACGATTTAACGGTTATTTTAACTCCGATTTTGATTTTTTTTATAGCTACACTCCTTGACCCTAAACAAATACAATGAATGAATTCGATCTTCAATTTAAAATATTTACACTAGTGGATACCACAAAATCTTATGTTATACTTGATGAAAGTATAAATAAACTCTTAAGTGTTAGTGAATCTATCGTTTTGATGTGATACGCATCCTACGAAATTAATTTCAACGATCCAACCGTCAAACTTGTTTATATATGCTTCGAGATCGCGTACGCCAAAAATTGCAAAAAACAAACATTCAGAGATCACAAAACTTTTCGACGGTTATAAACGAAAAATCATGATTTAACGGTTATTATAACTCCGATTTTGATGATTTTTTACAGCTACACTCCTTGGCCCTAAATGAATACAATGAATGAATTCGATCTTCAATTTAAAATATTTACACTAATGGATACCACAAAATCTTATGTTATACTTGATGAAAGTATAAATAAACTCGTAAGTGTTAGTGAATCTATCGTTTTGATGTGATACGCATCTTAGAAACTAATTTCAACGATCCAACCATCAAACTTGTTTATATATGCCTCGAGATCGCGTACGCCAAAAATTGCAAAAAACAAACATTCAGAGATGAAGTAATAAGACAAAACTTTTCGATGGTTATAAACGAAAAATCACGATTTAACGGTTATTGTAACTCCGATTTTGATGATTTTTTACAGCTACACTCCTTGACCCTAAATGAATATAATTAATGAATTCGATCTTCAATTTAAAATATTTACACTAATGGATACCACAAAATCTTATGTTATGCTTGATAAAAGTATAAATAAACTCTTAAGTGTTAGTGAATCTATCGTTTTGATGGGATACGCATCCTACGAAACTAATTTCAACGATCCAACCGTCAAACTTGTTTATATATGCTTCGAGATTGCATACACCAAAAATTGCAAAAAAACAAACATTCAGAGATCAAGTAATAAGACAAAACTTTTCGACGGTTATAAATGAAAAATTACAATTTAGCGGTTATTTTAACTCCGATTTTGATGATTTTTTTACAGCGACACTCATTGACCCTATATGAATACAATGAATGAATTCGATCTTCAATTTAAAATATTTACACTAGTGGATACCATAAAATCTTATGTTATACTTGATGAAAGTATAAATAAGTGTAGATTTTTAAAACCCTCCAAATTTCATGAACAATGTTATTTATTTGAGTGAAAAATTAATAATAATAAGTGTGAAAAATGTAATCACTCGTAAAGAAAAGCTTTACAACTTTCATTAAGGGGTCAACTCCGAAATTTAGTATGTATATACTAATTTAGTATTATGTTTTACATTTTTTTGGGTCAAATTATGTTTTTCTTTTCATTTTTATTGATTTAAAATATAATTTTCTTAACGGGTAACGGGTCGGGTCATATTACCTGATAATATTAACGGGTTGATTTCGGGTTGGGTCATATTACCCGTTTACTTTAACAGGTATTACACGACACGACCGTTAAGCTATCGGGTATGACACGAAAACGACACGAACACGAGAAACACGACATGAATGCCAGGTCTAATATTGACCATGTTTATTTTGTCTTCTTCTGTCTTCAAGTATCTTGTTTAGTCCATTTGCATAACTATTCTCGTGATTCACAAGTATAGTTGCAATTTGAGCTCTTTTGGCAAATACTTCATCCTTCTCAAAGGTGGCTTCTACTGGTTTGCCCTCTTGCACTTGGTTTGCAAATTGAATGACAAATACGCCACAATCCAATCTGCATTTTTTTTTTTTGGAAAAACAAGTAAGTATGACAGATAATAAGATCATATTATAACATGTGATGACATATTAAAAGAGAAAAAATGAAACTATTTCTGAAACTGGATCATGACACTATTTTGCATACTGTAAATTTATACCATATTTTTCCCATAATGATTCTGTTTTTTGTTTTTTTGTTTTATTTTGCATATAATTTAATTAGATCACAGATAAGTACCGAAAGAAAATGGAACTATTTCTTGTTTGTAACACTGTTTTGCAAACTGGAACTATTTCTGAAACTATATTATGACACTATTTTGCAAAGTCTAAATTTATATTATATTTTCCTAGAATGATTTCGTTTTTTGTTTTCTGTGTCTCATTTCCATATATTTGTAGTTAGATGACATATTTACTGAAAAAATAAACTATTTGTTGAGTTGTAATACTGTTTCGTAAAGTGTAAAGAGTGAAAAATTAACTATTTCTGAAACATGTTATGACATTATTTAGCAAACTACAAACTATTTTTCAAGTATGAGTCTTGTGTTTGTATATATGATTTTCATGGTCCTCATGTGTTTGGAATAAATAAATTTGATTGAAAAATATAGAGATCAACTTGTTTTTACTTATGAGTCATCCTTTTGTTGTGCACAAGTTAAGCATCTTTGAATTTCTATTGTGAGGTTGCTGTTACCTTTGAAATCTTTGTAAATTTCTTCTATTTTGTCTCTCTGCCAAAACAAATAAAAATAACATGAAAAAAAAATGAAATTGTATTATGAAGTTTGATTTTTCCTATCAGCATAAGAATACAGTTTGTAATTGAGTTATGGTTTTGTTCTTACCACTTGCACATCATGATCAAAGTATTGGTCTGTATACCTATGTATCCTCGGTAGTTTGGAATTGTAGTGTGTCATTTTTCCATCTTTAATGTCCCAAACTACCAAGCTAAAGTGGAAGTAATGCTTGATCAGTATGAAGACCTTTCCAACTTTATCCAGATTATCTTGTAAGACTATCTTCAATGTTTGGTCATTATGCTCCTGATCATTGTTGCTTTTTTCTATCTCCATGTCATTCTGAACAACAATACACATTTATTTATCAATCTTAATTAATAAGTAACACTAATTCTTAAATTGAACCAAAACACTTAACACTATTTATGAAAGTTAATTAAATTTACAAATTTTTTATTAAATCGAACAAACACAAATTTTTGTAAACAAAACTATTTGGCACTTACAAAGATGAATGAAGGCAGATACAGATTTTGTTGTTGCCTTATTTTTGACTCGTTTTCTGACATTATGTAGAACGAAGCATCAATTATGTTGGCATCGATTGCCCCATCCACAAACAATGATGTTAGATTTGTTTTTAGGACAACAAGGTCAGTTGCCATGGACCCTTGCCTTGGTTGCATCCAGAAGTGGTGCCTATGTAAGAAAATAAAAAGTATTAAATATCTATGTATATATATATGTGTGTGTGTGTGTGTGTGTGTGTGTGTGTGTGTGTACATGTATTAAGTTATGATTAATAATGTAAACTTACATTTTCTCTTGTCTGTAATATTCCTTGAATTTTTCTTTTGTCTCATCTTCAAGTAACTTGTAATTCCTTGTTGATGTAGGTAGATGATAGCGTTTGTCAAGCTTTTCCTTTATTTTCTTTGGCTTCTTTGGGGGGTTCTTTGCAGTCTTTTTTGTAGGCTTCTTTGTTGTTTCTTTAGCAATTAGACTCAAGGGTGATTGAACCTTTGGCTGCTCCTTTCCTTTCTCAATTATTGGTTCCAATGGTTGGCTTTGTGACGGAATAATAGAAGGGCTTTCACTGTCACTCACAGCATAGATGTATTTGGCCTTTTTTTTTTTTTTTTTTTTGGATGGGGATATAATCATAGTGTGGATCGACATTTGGTTTACGATCATCCCTCTTTCGTATATTTTTTACTAGTGTTCTCATCTTCTTCTTGGCAGTTTCTTTTCCTTGCTCTTAGTTGGAGTCTGCATTTGAACATCTTGTTGAACTCCAGAGGTCCCTTTTATAGTGGCAATGTCTTTTCTTTCATGCTCTTGATCCTCCTTATTTTCATCTGGATCATGATCAATTGCATGCCTTTGTTCTGGATCCTCCATAGCCACGTCATTTTCAGTTGCATTCTCTTGAACTGGATCATCAATAACAATATCCTTATCATGTGTATGCTCTTCAATTCAATCATCATTATCTGGATCTTCTTTAGGTGGTTCCTCCTTTTCTGGATCCTTGAAATTTTGATCTTCCTCTATTGAAGCATTTAGATCTAGTACTATTGGTTGCTTTTCCAGTAGCTTCTCTTTCAAACTTCCAATTTCATCCAGAAGTTTTTTTACTTTCATAGAAGCTGCTGAGTTCTTTAATTGCAACTGTCTCATTTCAAATATCATTAAACTAATCTTCTGCTTGTCTTCATGTTGTTCTTGCAGAAGCTTTTCAACGTTTTTGTTGAGTGCTCCTGTTGTTTGATTCGTTACAATTGAATCTGTGTGTAGGTTGTCAAGTGCATATATCATCATGTGACTGAGGACTAGATTCCTCTTTTGATCCATGCTCGCACATCTTTAAACTCTTCAAAACCTTCCACACCTAATGTGGTATCAATCCCTATCATGTCCTTTTGATAAATTACATCAAATTTCATCAATTCTTCTGTGTATAGTTGATCAAACTGTAACTGAGCTTCATTGATGGTGATAATGTGATCTTGTTGAGCTTCAACTTCAGTTCTCTTCCTTTTCCTTCCTGTTGTCTTCTTTTCTTTTTTCTTGGAAGGCTTGTTTCTTTGTTTAGGAGAAGGAATGGACATTATCTTCTTCTTGGTTTATGTTAGACTGCTCATGTGTTGGTTCTTCAGAAGGTATAGCAGCAAGAATCGGCTCATTCGGTTTAGCACAAGGAATACCACCACTAATCTGCACAGTCACACATTAAATAGCTGTTAAATTACATAATAATGTCATTGTTTCGTAAACACTGTTTATTAAACTTTTAAAAACACAAACTGCAAAGATCATTATGTTATGCAGCTGTAAAGTGCAAAAATATATTGTTTATTGAAATACTTTTATTATTGGCCTTCACCTCAATTTGTTCAACTGGAATATCTCTAATTGCTTTGTGGATTTTGGTTATGTCCCATCTTCCAATGGCAGGAACCATGTTTTCTCGTCCACTTATTGTCTCCACCAGATTGGTGTGAAGACAAATCCAATACTGCATGAAATAAGAACTTTGAATTACTTTCTTGTGTATTTTATAAGACATAATTCATGTTTTTAAAATATAGTTCTTATTTCTTACCAGAATAAGGGCAATACATCCGCTTGTTGTTGCTGATTCTTTTCCATTTTTCCTCTTTTTCTTTGATTTGTTAATCAGCTTGAACAAGTAGTCCCTCACTCCTTTTGCCTAGTTGTATTTGCTGATTTGGTCCAATGCCCCACAAATTGTTACGAAGCTCCACGTGATGTATGTTCCGAAGGTTGCAAATAAGAGGGATTGTAGGAGATGCACACATATAGTTGAAGCAGTAGCCTTTGCCCCTTTAGGAGTTTCGTCTTGGATTGATTTTTGGTACGCTTCAAGAATGTCCTTTTTTTTTCACTATTTTTTGGTTTGCAAAATATGTTTTGACAAAGTTGTCCTTCATGTTTTTTGTGGATTTGTCTGTGTTTGATAGTTCAACTCCTTGGTTGTTTAAACCAAATATTTAAGCAACATCTTCACTTGTTATTCCTCTTGGCTCAGATCCCCAAATTTGAACTTTTGTTGCTTGGAGTCATAGCATTGTATAATCTTGATCAGATCCATATCAGACTTTCTTTTTCTCTCCGTTGCAACGATTTCATCATCCATGTAGAATTTGATCGGACTTCAAAATGGTGTCTTGCCCAAATGATTGCAGACATCATGACGTTGTTGAAGCATTGGCTTTTACAATTGCATTGAATTTGCAAACCCAAAAACATTGCATCTGTATTGCACATAAGATGTTGAAGGTTTTTTTTATTCTTTTTCTTATCTAGACTCTTTTTAGCGAAAATCTTCATTCTTGGTTTCTTGGCTCCATCCATATGTAAGAATAAACATAGTTTAATTATCACACTAGTTCGTGTATAGCATAATATATGTTTATATATTAAACGATTCGTACTGAGAGTAAATAACAAAATAAATTTACAGAAATAGTATAATCTGCGTTTTGTTTAAGTTGATGCATGTTATTCTATATGCTTGATTCCAATAGATGTTAGTTATATAAACAATGAACCGTATGATTTTGTGAAATATGTTGAGAGAAATTGTAAGATTGTTACCTTTGTTTATTTTTTTAGGTATGTCTGCAACCAAGTTGCTCACCAAAGTTGAAATTTGCGTGAATTCGTCCGTGAAAGAACTGGAATGATGTACAAAATCGGAAAATAAGGATGGTTTCTGGTTTTTGTGATCTTGTCGTTTCGAGCAATGGAGGTTTCAATTTTGGAATATTAATTGTTATGCGGTTTGGGCTTTTTGTTGAGCCCGTGTGTTTTAGTTTTTGTAGGGCCTGAGATAAAAGTTACGTGTCCTTATGATTTAAATTTAAGCCCTTTTTATTAAATAATAGTTTAGGGTGGTTTTTCATTAAAAAAAAGTTAGCCTAAGCCCTTTTTGTTAAAGTTCCCTTTATTTAATTGTTTTTAATTAAATTCGTTTTTAATATTTTAGGTCATAAAATCAACCTCTTCCAAACTTGTTTTCAAATAATTAATTAAGATTTGGTATTTACATAAATTATTCATTCAATCATTGTGGAGAACGACCTTACTTGAACTGTTATACTACGATAACCTTATACTCTTGCAAGTATTTTTAAGTGTTTTTATCCCTACTTTTGCAGGTGGTAAAAATTCTTATTATGCATCAATTTTGCTATTTGCATTTCCTTAATTTTTACTCGTTTTATCTATTATTATTGTAAGTAAATTACAAAAGCAATTAAATGAATACATATAATACTCAGCTTCACTTGGTAAATTTTACATCTGGATTTCTCATGTACTTAAGCCACATACCAGCCATCACTCTTGATGAAATGCTCCACAACAAATCCTGACCTTTGGATGCTACATAATGTTTGCCCTTCTTCCCTGCAGCTGCTTTTGCCAATCCATAAGAAATCAACCACTGCATTGCAGTTAACCTCTGCCTCTCACTATCCCACGCATTCCTCTTCCCTCCTTTTGTCCTCACTTTCAACCCTCCCACATGCATGCTTGTCACTTTGAATCTCTTTTCCTCCTCCTCATCGACGATGCCATCAGCTCTCGTTGCATAAATAAGAGCTATCATAGGGCCTCCAACCGCCTCATACCGCCTTAAGGGATCCCTTAGCTGAATAACCACTGCCAGTGTGATTGTCTCCGGCTGGTTCCCATCTTGTAAGCTATCCAAATTGGCCACGCTGTGGTTTTTGATCCAATCGTCCAGCGATATTGAAGAAGTGAGCAGTTCGTTTTGAAGTACTTTTACGCCACTTGAATTTGTGAAACTATTGTTCATTGGTGAAACATCGAATGGGGCTTCTTCCTCAGCCATTTCAGCTTGGATTTTCAAAGATTCAAGTGCCATGGCCTCGATTTTCTGCATGGTGAATGCGAGAATCTCTTCTGCTTTCAAAGGTTCTCGTTTACATTCCAAATCCCAGTCGAAATCCTTTCCTTCCTGCCTGTGCTCAATGCATTTGCCATTGTTTTGACGGCGGCAATTGTTCTAGCAGCGCTCGAGCTAGCCCCTTCTTTGTTCCTTCCTTGAATGATCGCGGATGCAACACCTTCAAAAGCAATCTGCTCTGCAGTTTTATCCATCAGTTCATCCAATGCCATCAAATTCATAATCTGAGAATTCAGCTCATCAAGTCCAATAGCTGCAATCCTTTGAAACAATTCGAATCCACTCATTGACTGATCCCATGGCAGAACAAACGGCTTTGATATCTGCATGGAAAGTTTTGGAGTGTCTTTCCTAGCTACCAAGGTGTTAAATGGATTCATGGACGCCAAGTACCCTCCATCGCGGGTTTGAACCACACACCCTAGGCTCTTTCCGAGATCAGGAAGGAATACTTCTGCTGCTTCACACTCACCAGATTCCTCGACCCCTTCAAGCTTGAGAGGAGGGATCTCACTTTGATTCAGTTTATATTCATTTAAGATCTCTTCTTCCTCAAGCATTTGAAGAAACTCCTTTGTCACATTTTCTTCGTCCGCCTCCAATTTTTGTGATTCGATATCTTCTTCATCTTCATCCTTTTCGTCATTTTTTTCTTTCCCCATCAAAGACTCAAGAGCCTTAATCTGTTGAGCAATTGAATCAAGTTCTGTCAATCTTGTTGTATGCACTTTGTCATGCACAATTTCCTTCACAACCTCACTTGATGCTACCGATTTTTCGCCAATAGACTTTTTGGATTGCTCCTCCCCATATTCCTCTTCCTTGTCTTGGAATTCAACTCCTTTATCCACTACCTCAAAGTCTGGCAGATCAAGCTCCTCTGCCTTTGGCACTTCCGGTTCTTTTGCCTTCTGAGCTGCAGAAGAAGATGATGATGATATAGGAACGGGGATTGGTTCGTCAAGGTTAAGTTCATCGATCCCTTGGAGATCAGCTGCTTTTCTTGCTTGTGAAGGTGTCCATGCTTCTCCTCTGCTGGAAAGTTTTGGACTAGGCACACTAAATGAAGTTTTTGATTGCTTCCTAGCAAAAGCAGATGAGAAATTCTTGGACTTACTAGACTTCAAATCCTCAGCCTGACTATAAATTCCAAGTCCTCCATCCTTCTCCATAATCTGAAACCCTAGTTTCAGAACAAGCTCACCGCCTTTTGCCTTCCCTAATAGTTTAAAACTCATATCCCATTGCCGAATTCGTTGACCTTCGTGGCTTTTCTCAATGGATTCCAGAATCATCTGACTCAAATCCACAGTGCTTCTCCCAAAATCAAGCTCCTCTGCATCAACTGCAAACAAATATACCCAAAAGGGTCTCGGCTCAAACTTCGTCTGCTTCCCATGGCCGGAACTGCAATAAACATGGCACCGAACGAAAAGGGTCTCTTCGAAATCAGCAGCTCCTTGTGTTACCCTTGACGGCATTGTTTGAACCGCTCCTTCTTTTGTTTCCTTCTTTCTAACGCAGACAGAAAGTCTAAGGCCATTCATTGAAGCCGGAAGGCCTTGCGCGGCGACAACTTCAACAGAAAATAAGCAGCTCAGCTTTTGCATTCCAATGTGGGAAATAGCGCGAATCGGTTTCCAATTCCAGATACCTTTTTTCTCGGTGGTGGCAGTTGCCTTGACATCCAAGCTTCTTAGCTCCAGTGAATTATATTTCGTTGCCTTCTTGCCTCGATCCTTTTGCTCATTTTCCTCATCACTAGTAAGTTTTGGGCGGGAGCGCCACGGGGACAAAGACATCCGCCTTCGTGGTTTGTTGTTGAGTCTAATTTCCTCAACATTTGCCGGAACAAGTTCATCTTTAGAGGGTATGGTAGGAACCGAGCTTCTTGGAAGAACAAGGGAGGCAGTTCTTCGAGTACTAGTACTCGAAATGTGGGATGTGTAGAGTGACTCACTAAGCGCTTCGAGCTCTTCCAGAAGCTGAGTGTTGGAATTTCTCCGACTACCGGATGAAATTTCAGCTGCCATTGGAGAAGAGAAGAAAAGGGTAGGAGGAAATCGGTGCAATAGGTGGGAATGGGATTGAATTCATATGCACGGAAAGGGAATGAAGGGGGAAATTAGATAAGGGAATCACTTGGTCGATTGGTTTTTGAGGTGGAGAAACTGCCATGGATTGTGGTGATGATCTTTCCAGAGCCAATTAAACGTGTGAAGGATAAGAGGACAACGCCTCTTCCCGTTTTGTTCTTTTCTGGTGAAAGAGATGGGTTTGAGACATCAGGCAGGGAAACCGGTCCCATAGAAATAAATGGTTTGTTCTATGATAAGGGAATCACTGGGTCGATTGGTTTTTGAGGCGGAGAAACTGCCATGGATTGTGGTGATTAATGTGGGGGTTGATTGATGATCTTTCCAGAGCCAATGAAACGTGTGAAGGATAAGAGGACAACGCCTCTTCCCGTTTTTTTTTTCTTTTCTGGTGAAAGAGTTGGGTTTGAGACATTAGGCAGGGAAACTGGTCCCATAGAAATAATGGTTTGTTCTATCTGGCATGGTAATGTAATGTGTACATTTAGTTATTTAAATTACTATTTCCATGAAGCTTCTGACCTTGTTTTCACTTGCAGTGCATTCCACGGGAGTGGTACTTTCGTATTTCAGGGTGTATTACACTCGTTTCTTTCTCATACATGAGAATACATCACGTGATGTGTGAGAAAGGAAGAACGACTATACACTCCATGATAGGTAAGTTTTTCGCTTCCAAGTGGGTACTTGTTTTGTTATTTTCGTTGTGTCAAGGAGGCATGGGCAGAGCCACAAATATCAGGATGGGTTGAGGTTTTGAATTAGCTCAAGCAATAAAAGTAAGTAGAGAAATGAGTAGGATTAAATCAAGTCAAATCCACGATTAACTTCCATTCTAAATATATAAAAAAAAAAAAGGGTACCAAATAAGAAAGATAAACTATTTGTTAATTTCAAGATGTGATTGAATGCAATAAAATCACTACAAGAAAACATGGAATAGGTGACCAAATTTTATGTGGCGCCCAAAAATTCGTCACATGTATTTTTTTTATGTGACGAATTGTTCAGAGCGTTACACATGACTAGTTTTTTAGGAATGAAATTTGAGAACACTTAGGTGATGATAAATACGTCACATATTCTAGAATGGAGTGACGAAAATCATAAGCGTCATTTAAAATTATTTTATATCTTTTAAGATGATTTTTTTTAAGTCCTTACTAAAATATATGGTGGGGAACAATGGTGCCCTAACAAAGTATGATATGTGAGGAATTTCAAAAGGGTCACATATGTGTATTCTTGGTGACGAAGTGAGTCATCACACTTCCAAGAGTAAATAAAAAAGAAAAAGAAAAAAGAAACATAGT